TATACTCTTGTACTAATTTCCATTTCTGTGTTTGATTGTAAACAGAGTCGTACATTTGCCTCCCTTTCTTTTCCTGTTCATAAAAAGAAAAATTCCTTGAGAGTACGAAGCGAGGAAATATGTTCTAGTTTGGGTCTTTTAAGCTATATAAACAATAAACTTCTATTTTGAATCTTGGACTCAACGTCATATGATAATTTGGGGAAGGGAGAACAGGGGGAAGAGAAGTGGGAGAGACGCAAATAGGGAAGGAGGAGAGGGAGAAAGGGGGAGGAGGGAGAGAGAGAGAGAGAGAGAGAGAGAGAGAGAGAGAGAGAGAGAGAGAGAGAGAGAGAGAGAGAGAGAGAGAGAGAGAGAGAGAGAGAAAGAGAGAGAGAAGAGAGAGAGAGAGAGAGAGAGAGAGAGAGAGAGAGAGAGAGAGAGAGAGAGAGAGAGAGAGAGAGACATGAAAGAGTGAGATGAGAGAGGAGAGAGAGAAAGTCACGAGAGAGCGAGAGAGGCTTAGATAAAATAGAGGAAGAAATCATATGTATCACATAAGGCTTATTCTTTATTAATGGAACGAAATTTAACATTATACCACTTGAAAAAATACAAAAATTACAAAAGAACACAGGTCGTCTTATAATTGCCACACATTTTTCCGTGCATATACATACTAAGCTTATTAATACACTGTTTTTACTTGGCTATTACTCTGCATTTCTTACAAAACGCATTTTTTTCTTAACACGCCATTCAAGTTTTGTTTTTCATATAAACCTTTTGATTTATGCATTTTTCACAATGTACCCCACGCTCATGTTTTCCACCTTTCTCATAGCCTGCGGCAGACACGCAGCCGAGGCCTCGAGCACATCCTTCACCTCCAGGAGGAATGACCTGGTGCAGGGGAGGATGTGGACATTCACGTCGTCAACCCAACTTCCGGTAATGTCGTCCTCGCCTCTTTTGAAGAGGTAAAGGAGCTTGATGGTATAAACTCTCCTAAGGCTGACTTCCGAGATATCGTCTTGGTGGACCCGAGGTCGCTTCTCGGAAGGAAATGACTTATTGGAAGCGAGATTGTCCGCCTTCATCTCATCAGAGTTTTCTGACAGACTATATTTCTTTTCAGAAGTTCCTGACAGAGCCAATCTTTCGGGCAGGAGTAGTTTTTGATTGGTATTCATTGTCACTAAATACAGGAATTCTGGCTCTGCCGCCGCTTCCTCCTCCTGTGACACCTTCAACACTAGGCGACAGTTCACTCCAAAATTATCTCTATCAATGTTATGAATTAATGACAAAAGGATTCCACTAACGTCCTTGCCGAAAAGAATTTGCTTGTCTTCACTTCTCACCCACATTAAACTATGTGCCCATAACTTCAGCACAGATTGCTTACTCCGAACACCTAAAGATGCTTGACAGCCGCAGCATGCCAGTTCGCAATTATTGTTATTTGGAGAGACACAATCCACTGCCGTATCTTTATGAACGAGAAAATGAAGTTCGGAATAGAAGCAATCGTCACTTGCAGGCTGTAGTGACGAAGGTTTGAGTTTCTCGCCCTCACTACCATGAAGGTGACAGAACCATCCCTCTGAGGCTTGGTCCCAGTCCACCGAAGGTAAAGGTAAGACTCTCCTAAACCTCACATCACTAAGTAAGACTCTACGGCACTGCTTGCACTGGGCCGACACCAGATTATCTTTCAGGATCTCACTAAAGGTCGGGGAAGTATCCGAAATGGTAGGTCCAACAGTACTCAAGAGGTCTGCACTGAGTGTACTGAGGAGAGATGTCTTCTCATCCAACTGTGCTCTTGCAGTTATGTGGCTTCCATCTTGGATGATTTTGCTAACAGTTCCTGGTACTAAAGATGTACCTTTTGGGAACTTGATGGCCAAATCATCTCCATTCCTCAACTTGATAATGCACAGATATTTATCGGCTGTAATTTCCAGACAAGGGCCTCTATCAGTCGGTAGCGTTATGTACAGGTTACAAGCTTGAATATTTGGGAGTACCTCCACCAATAATTGCGTCATTATGGATCTGCAATATCTGTCGGAGTAATAAAGAGAGATTTGAGGCGGAAAACACACAAGAACAATAACAATTACCAGCTACAACAAGAGGGTACTGAAGTGTTGTCATATAGATCGCCAGCAGTCTATTAATATTCATTAATGCTGCCACCACTTAGGCTAAATGCTTCAAGGGTAAGGACAGCTAAATAAAAATTCTATTTCATCATCGTGTTCAGTCACGTAACCCTGCCACAAAATTTAGTACTGTTGAAGTCTATTTGAGATGAACAAAATACAAACTTTAATTATTACCTTCCACCATCATATGCATCTGTACCAATCTCAAGAAGTCTAATTAACAATTCGTAACAAAAAGAGTTCATGATTGGTATCTTATCTTTCCCCAATTACCGTACACACCTGTTAAGCATTATAAAATCTACACTTAGCAAATGCTGATTCTAGACAAACGACTTCTTACTTTGTGACTTTGCAGGTCTTGGCAATTAAATATAAAGTACGTTGGTACCCATGTAAACATCTATCCAAGGTCTATTTATCTGCCATTTATGGAGTACTGTATTAAACTTTCCTCTGCCAACCAAAAAATTGCGATAAGTAACTAAAAACTTTATTTCTAAGTTATATTTATAAAAAGACTGTATTTCCCAATGATTCCATGCTATCAAATGTATTTTTTCTTGCCTTGATTCTTATAAAACCATACATTGGGGGCCCCATTAGCTTACCTGTAAAGTCTATCCAATTCACAATAATCTCTTATCACATTAAGAAAATTATAATCTGTGCATTCCTATAGGTATTCATAAACCTAAAGTAACAAAGCCTCACATCAAATATCACTTTTATGCATATTTCATTTGTTACAAAAACCCTTACCATGTGTTCTATCAGGTGTATGTGAAGGAATTTGGTTTGTTTGTAAATAAGAGTGTGCATTCAAAAATATTTTTTTCTTCTGATTTCGGATTTTACTAATAGGAAATAATGTTCATAAATAGTATGATAACTTAAACACCATTGAAAATATTTGTTGTGATATTGGTTTAAATTATTCAAATGATGTAAGATTTCTGAAATAGAATTAGTGTTTTAAATCGCTTAATTGATTAATCTCATTATTTATATATTGCACGAGCAAAAAAATCTTTGAAAACAAATATAGGTATTTTAAACAAATAAAAAATAACAAATATTTTCAAAATCAGATAATAAAACTAAATATAAACGCTCCCTGTTCTTCGTTCACATCCACAAACATTATAACCATCCGGTGAGTTGAGTTATCCGAATTAATTTCATTTTTATTATCGTTTTACGGCTTGTTTGAGATTATTCTGTTGTTTGAAGGATATCAAGATAAAGCTTAAGACGGAGAATAAAACATTAACGTGGTAAATTCCTTCTAAAGTAAAATAATGCTGCTCTCGGACCTCCTTGTCTTGCTCGTCCAGTGCAACCAGGTCGGAAGTAAACATTCTCTATTTTATCATACTGGCGTCTTAATTTCACACGCGGCATTGGCTTTGTACCTCCTCTGGTGCATAGTTAATTTACCTGCGAGTGACGAACACAAAAATATTCGGTTAATGAATTACCTGCGAGTGACGAACACAAAAATACTCGGTTAATGTTACCAAGTGGGATGCACAGAGATAGAGCGTATAGAGCATAAAAAATAAAGTAAAATGTAACACAGATACAGCTGCAGCGACCCTATATTTACTATGAAATGATGAAAATAGCCTCTGCATATATCAACACAGAGACTAAGTCTACAACACCCAAGATTCTTTATATTGTGTTTTCTGTAAGTTGACACAAAGTGTTAACAAAGGGGAGTGTAGAGGGGAAATCCCCCCTTTCTAGGGTGTAAATAATAAAAGGTAGGAAAGGTTAGGTTTGGATTTTGGGTTCGCATGTTATCCTGTATTTTGGGACATCATAACTGGAGGGTGTGTCGCTCTCAGTAACAAATACCAAATGCTCTTTGATAACAACAATAAAGGGCAAATGCTATGGTGACGTCATCTTGTCAGGGGGGTCATTTCAGCTTTTGCTTGTGGGGGGTAAGGGTGGGTCAGTGAGTGATGGCAGCACAATTAGCTAGGGATTTGGGGCGGGTGAATAACACTCTATAGACTTTAAATAAAATCACAATGGATTAATGATAAGTCTATGTTGACTAAATGTTAAATTTCTGGTATTCACAGATAATATATATAAATTTATTCATATGTTGCTACCACTAGTTTTGGTACAGTTTTATGAAAAAGAGTGTATATATATATATATATATAGATATATATATATATAATATATATATATATAATATATATATATATAGATATATATATATATATAGATATATATATATATAGATATATATATATATATAATATATATATATATATAGATATATATATATATATATATATAGATATATATATATATAGATATATATATATATATAATATATATATATATAGATATATATATATATATTATATATATATATATTATATATATATATATATAATATATATATATATAGATATATATATATATAGATATATATATATATATAGATATATATATATATAATATATATATATATAGATATATATATATATAGATATATATATATATATATTATATATATATATATAGATATATATATATATATAGATATATATATATATAGATATATATATATATATAGATATATATATATATAGATATATATATATATAGATATATATATATATAGATATATATATGTACCATGATACTGGTGATACTAATGTGATCACAATACAAGCAAGCATCTGCTCATGAACCATTTGGTTAAGAGGTAAATCTAGTATTACTGTATTTACATATACAGTATTAAGATATATAAAGATCAATGATGACCAGGGGCATCAATTGGGGGAGGTTGCAGTTGCTGTACCAGTTTATTCTGCTTTATATGTGTCTGTAATCAAATTCAATTAGCTCTAGAATTTGTTGAGCTATGGCCCTTGGGGGGGAGAGGGGAAGACAGACCTTGAGGGGGGCAAAAAGAGTCTTGGGGGGCACTGTGCATTGATGCCCCTACATCTTGTCCTGCTCGCCTATCTGCAAAGAAGGGTTAGTTGGACGAGATGGACAACTTGTACTGGATGTCAAAGTAGGAGTCCCGAACAGTCAAAACATCCTTGTAGTTCTGTATGCAGCATAATATATTTTTAAAATTTGATTTGCCAATAATTATTCTGTGGACTTAACCCAATGGCGCCGGGTGTAAAAAAAAAAAAAAAAA